TTGTTTTATTTTTTAGGCCAGATATTAGCATGAATTACGGCACTAGCTATTTCAACAAGAGTCAAGTGGAAAAGTTAACTCCTTGGAGAGTTGTGTGTAGTTCTGAGCCATAACTAAGGCTTTTAACTGTCACACTCCTGCAAATCATAATAAAGAGTAATAGGTAAAAAGCCACTGCTCCTTTAAATCAGTGTCACCAGTGACTCAGAAATATCTATTGTTTTGTTGTTTTTTTTTTTATTCCTACCAACAGTTTCAATTAAGATTCAGCAGATCCACTCTGAGAAAATCCTGTATAAAACACCTCATAATATTTTGGTTTAATACTGTTTTTTAAATTCTGTTTAAGAAATGAGCATTGAATAGTAATAATGTCTGTAACACATTAAAATATTGGTCTAAAAGGCTAATGCCCAATTCATAGCTTTTGTTATAAATTTTTGAGTGTATAATTACTAGAATGTATAAATATATGTTTCATCAACTTTTTTTCAGACAACAGCTATACAAATTTAATAAGTCAAATATATTCACCCAGGCATATTACTTTCTGAATACGGGAGAATTATGGCATGGTTTTGAAAAAAAAAAAAAAAAATCACAACCTATTTTCCCTGCAAATAGTGTCTGTACTAACAATTCATCTGGACAAAATGATTACAGGTATTTGTCTTTACCTTTTGTAATGCACTAAGCAAATTTCAGTGCTTCATCCACACATGAACCATTTGCTAATTTGCGGTATATACCACATTTGTCAGGCCCTTTACCTGTATTTGTGCATTTTGGGGAGGCTAACTCCAGATGTGCAGCAGCTGTTGTTCCACATAGGATTGTGTGACCGTATTCTGCCTGGCTTCTAGGCGGAAGGAAGGCAACATGAGGCTCTGTCATTCTCCAGGAGATCTTGAAAGCTGCAGAAAAAGAAATCAGAAGGGCAGCCATTAGGGAGAAGAGCAAGATGCATGAGTAGAATACATACATATTAATAAAAAGGTTTGCCTGCTGAGTCACTGTGCTTCCCATTTAGATTTCCATATTGGCATGTGGCAACTGCTATAATTGATTGCATTAAAAAGTAATACCAAGGATGTAATATATTTTTAGTTCTCACTACAGCAGGGAAAAAAAGTTAGCACTGTACTGTTAGCCAGTTTTCTGAAGACCATCTGAGATCTGTGGGTTGTAATTTGGAAACCTTTGGCAAAGAACCTTGAAGTACAACAGGGATATCTCTGAAATGTCCTTCAGAGATGCGTACATTTGTAGCTGATATATTTGTTAGTTGGTACACGTAGATCTTTCTGAAATCTTCTGTCATTTCACAAACCAACTTAGATTTCCCGTTTCCATTTTCACTTGGTAGGTTTCCATCCCATTTCCTAAGCAGGCAAGAAGCTTTTCTTTGCTTTCAAGATTGTGTGTTGGGGAACTTCATGTTAAATGTAACTTCACAACCTTTGGAGGCCTCTGAGAAGTGCATTAGCTCTCCTACACATTTGGTTTTCTACTGGTTTGGAAATTAGCAGGTTAAAGTAAAAAAACTGAAATGCATATCCTGCATGGCAAGTGAAAAATGTTACGAAAGAAATTGCTGGTGTTCTTTTATGCAGAGAAGGATTAATTTATGGAAGCTGCACTGAAATAGGTGATGAAATTTCCTGTATTGTAATTTTAAAATGCCAGAACAGGAAGGGACCTTCAACACTGAGTGGTGTCCAAAGTTCATGACAGGCTCTAGGCTAAAGAGCTATGAATTGTTTGCATGCTTAAATATCTAATTTATTAAGAAGCTGGAGGAGGGTTCACATCACCATTCTAAATCTTTTCCTTCTGAGAACAGTCTGAGGTGTTCAATCCATATTTTCAGTGTTCTGGCATTTCATCCTTGAAGGGCTAATGTTCTTTGGCTGTTTTCCTGAAGAAATGGAGGCTATTGTAAATTTACATTGTTAAGAGTAGTGAATATAAAGCCCAGTGCAAGGAGGATTTAATCATGGAGAAATGCCACCATTCCAAGCCTAGCACTCCCCAAGAACAGGAGACCATCTGATGTATTTCAATATTGTTATGAACCTTTTTATCGCTTACCTGTGCTGCAGCTGTAATGAGAAGGACTCTGGAACAACAAAACAAGTATCTAAATCTGGTCCATGTGAAGAAGAGGGTGGTGCAATGGCCTGAAGGGGAAAGGAGAGACAAGAATTCCCACTTCATCTCCGGGAGGCCCTGTCTCATGAACAGGAGCAGTATCAGTAAACAGGTTTAGAGCAGGAAATGTATCTCTGCATCCTTTACGGAAAGAAGAGGTGTGAGAGGGGAGAAGTGAGGTGAAAAATAGCTACAGTGGGGGAAAGGGAAGACTGGAAAATTCCCCAGGTCAAAAATAGGAAAAATGGCAAAGAACTGCAAGAAAAGATTAAAAAAAAAATAAAAGCCAAACTATATAATCAGGCTTTTGTTTTTAAAAATTAAAAAAAAAAGTCATTGAGACCAAAAAGAAAAAATCGAGCAATGAAGAAGTGAAGAAAAAGACAGATTTGGAGAATATATATTGATTTAGCTTTAGCCTGTGCCTCTTTGTGAAACTTGAGTTTAGAAGACCTTTGGTAACCAGATCAATAAAATCTTCAAAATCGTTTAATTAGATTGAAGGCCAAAAGATAAACTCTTGTGATAAAAACTTCTACCTTTGTTTGCCAGAACAGGAGTAAAAAGTGTTCACTGCTTGTTTACCTTCCGATTGATTTTCCTTCAAGCTAAGAAAAAACGTGCTACATTTGGACAGAAGAAGGCATTGAGGTACCTTCTCCTGATTTAGAAATGTAGAATACAAGGCAATGGTCGCTTAAGGGTAATGAAAACTATAGAACAAATGACAAGTCTACAAAGATTCAAGAGGAAGCAAGTTTATTTCTATGTATGAGACAAAACTACCGGCAATTATTGTCCAGCAATATTAGCTATGAAGGATGTTTGGCTTTATTTCCAGTTGCTACAACTAGAGAATTTACTTCTTAATTTAATGCTTACCTCAAATGTAATTTATGTAGGTTGTTCACGTGTTAAATCAGAAGCATGCTGAATTTAAATTTACCTTTTGGGGTGTACATTATATTTTTACGAAAAGAAATCAGTGATCTCAAACACAGTGTTTTTTAAAGTACTGTCTGTTTTATCACTTTTGTGTTTTACATTAGTAAACATGTAGTTATTATTTGCGTTAATGTCACCATATTAGTTTTTCTTTGAAAAGAAGCAAACATCACTGTACATTTATTGGGCTATAAGTCTTACATTGTGTTTAATGAAAATTGACTCTTCTGCCTGTAAGATACACCTTTGGAAACAAAATAACGCTACTGATGATAACTTAATTTTATCTCAATATTAACTGTGCGTGCCATTAAGCTATTTTCTCTGAAGGGATGTTGTCCTGCACCTTTCTAAAGCTTGGTTTCGTGCATCATCTTTTCAAGTAGTAATTCTTGAGTAACCTGAAGTAAATGGAGCACTCCTTCTACACCATCATATATAAGCTTTACATTACATAGGGATGAGCTTGACAAAATGTGTTCAACCTCTGACCTTCTCAGAGTCTTTCCCGAAGAGGACTGAAGGTCACCTTTCGTTAACTGTATGATTGAGACTTGATTGCAGTCCTAAGCATAAATACAGGCTGGGCAGAGAATGGATTGAGAACAGCCCTAAGGAGAAGGACTTGGGGGTGTTGGTTGATGAGAAGCTCAGCATGACCCCGCAATGTGTGCTTGCAGCCCAGAAAGCCAACCGTATCCTGGGCTGCGTAAAAAGCAGCGTGACCAGCAGGTCGAGGGATGTGATTTTCCCCCTCTACTCTGCTCTGGTGAGACCTCACCTGGAGTACTGCATTCAGCTCTGGGACCCCCAACATAAGAAGGACATGGACTTGTTGGAGTGGGTCCAGAGGAGGGCCACGAAGATGATCAGGGGGCTGGAGCACCTCTCCTGTGAAGAAAGGCTGAGAGAGTTGGGGTTGTTCAGCCTGGAGAAGAGAAGGCTCCAGGGAGACCTTACTGCGTCCTTCCAGTACCTGAAAGGGGCCTACAAGAAAGCTGGAGGGGGACTTTTTACAAGGGCATGTAGTGATAGGACAAGGGGTAATGGCCTTAAACTGAAAGAAGGTAGATTTAGAGTTTTAGATAAGGAAGATATTCTTCACTATGAGGGTGGTGAGGCACTGGAACAGGTTGCCCAGAGAAGTTGTGGATGCCCCATCATTGGAAGTGTTCAAGGCCACGTTGGATGGGGCTTTGAGCAACCTGGTCTAGTGGAAGGTGTCCCTGCCCATGGCAGGGGGGTTGGAACTAGATGATCTTTAAGGTCCCTTCCAACCCAAACCATTCTATGATTCTACGATTGTATGTTGGTTTGAACCTGGGTGGATTTCTCTATCTTCATGTTTTTAAAAGTGCTCGTAAAACAGTTATTTGTGCTCTGTTACTCTACTATAATGCCAAAAGAAAGGTCACGGAAATTTATATTATTACATTAAAATATCTAAGAGAAGGTCATGGAGTCTGATCTTCGCTGTGCTCTGGGAGTCAGCAGAGGTGGATTGAAAGCTTTTTCAGCACTCAGCTGAGCAAGCTGGGAGATTCGGGGTTCATTTGGATTGGATTTCATCTTTTTTTAAGAGCACGGGCTTTTCTTCCACCTGAATGTCGGGCTTTTGGAATAAAATTTGTGTTCAGGCATGGTTTTTACTATCTTCCCTTCACAGTTGCTTGGTTTTTAGTATTTCAGTGTCTTCTGTAGCATATCGTGTCATAATAATCCAGTGTCCTTGAGCAAAAATAGAGTAGGAAAAACTTAATTCAGAAGAGTGCATCTGTTTTGCCTTATGATTTGTTTGCAGCTGACCTTTGATAAGGGCTGGTTCATACTTGCAGATTTTTAGAATTCATTTTGAGTGTGTGCTTGTCTGAACTTTTTATTAATTCTCTTCTTTTCTTTTGCAGATTACAGATAGAAGAATCTTCTAAACCTGTAAGGCTATCACAGCAGCTGGACAAAGCCGTAACCACAAACTATAAACCGGTGGCTAATCATCAATATAACGTAAGTAGCTTTCAGTATTTTCCTTTATTCTCCTAGCCAGGCATCTGGCTCAGGACTCCAGAATCACTCTGCTGCTGTCCTGCAGCCCTTTCGCTCACAGTTGGCCACTGTCTTTGGAAATGTTCCATGTTATCTGGTTTCTCCCTGATTTCATCTTCTGGGGATCTTCTTTCTGTCTCAAGACCAACATCAGCCTTGAGGCTAAGGTCTGCCAATTCTAACTCTCTCATGTTACCTGATGGAGGGCAGACCACCTTTACCTAAGCCTTTTCTAGTGTCTTTATTACATTCTTCCTCTAGTCTTTTTTTTGAAATGTAATTCTGAAATTTGGGGATAAAAGGCAGTTCTGGCTTTGTGCTATGAGATGTGGAAGCACTCCTTTGAGACAAATAAAATATCATATGGAGGTGGGTAAAAAGCTTGAAAAGAATCATTAGTTTCCAGTCCTCTGCAGGAACTGACAACAAGTAAAAAAGAGTAACAGCTGATAATTTTTAAGTTTCATACCTTCATAGTACGTGTTACTTGCATCATTAGCTTTGTTAATATTACATCCACACTGCTGTTCCAGATCAGTTGATGCACATACAAACTATAATGTCCTTTTTCTTAAAGATCCTCTTTGAGTAATTTGTATGTATGCATATATAATTGCTGTTACTGTTGAATGTGAGAAATGTTAAGTCATACTGAAAATGAGTCACTCTGTTAGTCATTTAAACTTTTACACTTTTTATTAAGATTTTATTTACATAAAACAAATGACAATATACTGGATGATATTTAAGCACTATTCTGAAAGGCAGTTTATTTTTACAGAACCAAAAATAATCATTTCTCTCTCTTGAGACTGTTTTGTAGTAGTTACTGTTCAAAGTCTGATCTATACATAGATGATAATACCAATATAACTATTTCAGCTAAGGGAATGACATTTAACCAAAATAGTCATACTGGTATATCCTGCTATGCAAATGCAATTTTATATGAGTATATTGTTTTATGATGCTACTGTTATTCTCCTTCTTCAATTCTGGAATAAGCTACGGTGATGTACAGCATCTCTTTTTAGTGGGATTCTGTGCCATTTCCCTGACACTAGCAGTATGACTTCAACCTGGAGACAATCTTTGAATCTTTATTCCAGTTGCAAACTGCTGTTGTCGTATCATTACAGAAATTTAAGTCTTTTGTGAGATTCGGGGCGCATAACCAGGACATAACCAGGCTTCTTGAAAGTTATGATGCTCTTGTGTCCTAATCGTAATGTTTTTAGCAGTTACATAGCTGTCCATGCTAATGGGAATCCATTGGCAATGTGTTTACTTTTCATGTCTGCCTTAAAGGTGTTCTGATGAGAAAAATCTAGTAGGACATACTTACACTTGAGTCACTCTTGGCCATGCCTTGACTCTAAAGGCCCAGGCATGACTACTTTCTACAACACCTTTCTTTTCACTAAGTCTTTTATTAAGGTTCGGGTTAGATGGCTGAAAGGATGTATGACTGGGAGAACACATCTGTGAACTTTTTAAACCTCTTGGTTAAATTTTTCTGGTGTATTCAAGCAGCAGTTGCTTTCTTAAAACGTGCTGTATTGCTTGTAATCATATGACAGCCCTGTTGGAGACTTTTCACAAGAAAGAAGAAAAAAAATGTACAAACTACCATACATGCTGAGGCATTCGGTCATCTTCAGGGGAGTTTCTGAGGAAAGAATGAGCATCTACTAGGAAAGAGAGGAGTAAAATTTCCTGAAGGAAGATATGATAGAATATTAAATGGGGCTTAAGCGTGGCTGCTCCATGTACCCCTAAATGAACAAATAACAGGAAGGAGGATGGGAAGAAATTACATGTGGATGGGAAATAGCAATAGCTTGTTTGAATACAAGGACAGGGAAAGTGATTTTTTTTTTTCCAAGAAATTGTATTAAACCCACATTTTTATTAGAAGAAATTGCAATTCCATTACGATATATGCCAGGATTATAACTTAGCTTCTCTGCGAAAGGGACCTTCATTTTCTGTATCATCTGTAGATGATATACATCTTTAAAAGGTTGCAATGTTAATGTTCTTGCAGCTGGAATGTTTCTGTGACTTCATTATTTTTTGTAACACAGCAGAAAAGTTCTCTAGTGGTCCTGTTACCCCTTCAGAGGCTTCTTTGTGGTCTCCCCTCTTCCCGCTCTCTGGTACTATAGAGGTTGGTATCCATGCTCCAGGGGAAGGGAAAACCTTTACGGCTTCTTTCAAACAGCTTCAGATGAAACTTTAGATTTAGTCTCACTTCTCTATCACCTTTGTATGAGCTGTCTACCGAAACAGTGTAATACATCGGCTTCGGTATTAATGATACCTTCAAGAAGGCAATTTTGGCAGCTTTTCAGCAAGCTTAGCAACATACTGGGAAGGTAAACAAAGAGAAATTGATTTCTGTATGAAGACTTGCAGGGATAAACTCGCAACTTCTACACTCGCCAGCTTGTTCTAAAATGGTTCTTCCTTGAAAGCAAATCGTATTTTAATGCTTTTTAAATTTAAAAACCACGATTTTAAATCAATGCATTTGTTCTGTAATATGACTCTCAAAAAGTGCTTTAAGCCTACTGCATAAAACATCCTATTTGCAAAGAAAACAGGAAGGAAAAAAATGAAAGGCTGCATTGTAACTTGCTATGAGCAGTGCATTCACAAGACAAAAAGAAGAAAACAGCAACAGATACCATGCTTTTTTTTTTTTTTTAAATAGCACTTCACAATGCACTCCGTGTTTTTAGGCAACAGTGGGAGCTGTTGCTGAAGTTGGAGGGAAATGCTGGAGTGTTGCTAATTAAAATGTGGGCAACTGGGACGCCAGCTGCAAATAACTTTTCAACAAAGGGAGGGTTTGATACTCAGTTTTCTGTGTGAGTTGTTTTTATACGTTAATGAATTAAGAATATTAAAATATTCACATTGCATTTGTATAGGGAATACAAACACTCTTCCTTGATTTACTTTAGCTCATCCAGAGAATGTAAACTAGAAGCTCCTACTGGGGAGAGTGTACCAAGGCACTAAAATAATAGAGTAAGAAGAATGCTGGGCATTACAATTTACTAGCAAAAAAAGGATTGTGCTTTGGTTAAAAAGACTACTTCATGTTATTTTCCAGGAGACTGTTATTCGTGTAATTAGGATTTTATACTCAGTCATGAAATAGTCCTGTCAGAGACCTAAAATCGGTGAAGATAATGTTGAGGATTTCCTTATTGTTACTTTGTTCCTTTATGTAGGAAGCATCAGTTTTAAAGCGAGTAGTTTTTTTCTCCACATGGAGAGAGCTGTAGCTAGTAGCTAGTTGCTAGCTAAGCACATTTTCGTGTTATGTCATTTGAAGAGGTACAAACAGTACCATGGATTTTTTGTTGTTGTTCTCAGAGATTGTCTGGAGAGTCCCAGTAAATTTTCCCATTATGCCCATGTTATTTACCCGTTATTCCCATAGCTCTGCCACGTACCGAAGGAATAACCTCAGTGCTTTGCTCTTGTTCTTGCTCCTTAAAAACAAAACAAAAACCAGAAAAGGAGGAGACGGGTTTCTTCCATCACTTCAGCTTGACCTTCCACCTGAGGGGGTTGCAGTTTGTTTCTGTTTCTGTTTTTCTTCTTCTTGTTCATATTGTTTTTGTTGTTTGGGGAGGTAGAAAATTGCAGAAGGGTTGGTAAGAACAGGCATAATAGCTGCTGCTGTGGCAGAGTGATGCAGCCTGTAACTGGCTGTCTTTATCTTTCACGCCATAACTTTCAACTCATGTTTTTGAGTCAGAGGAAAGTTCCTAACCTTAAAAACAAAGACATAGGCCTTTACACTGAAAAGTGACCTCAGATGTATGCAGGAACCCAGAACTCAGTCAAGCTTTGCAAACAGAGATGCCTTCGTCTCTCCTACCGTCTTCTGGACTTGACCTCTAAAGTACCGGAGGCTTTTCTGGCAACAAATTAAGGCTGGATAATCCACCTCCTCCTCTTGTAAAATGTTAACATGTGCATATGTTCAAAACATTATTAAGTCCCCAGTCCTAGTCTCCCATAAGCCGGTGTCTCAAATGCAGTAGGGCTCTACTGAAAATCCAGTAGTGTTGTTTATCAGTATCAGCCATGACCTGATCAGCAACTGCACAGAGAAACTGGAAAATTCTGTGGATCCCCGAGTCAAAACCGACTGAAAACTCAGGCTCAAGAAAGCCCACTGCAGTTGATTGCAGTGGCTAATTAGAAAACTGCTTCCAGGAGAACATAGTGTCAGTGTCTTGATTTTTGAAGAGGATCCCATAAAGTTGTAGTTCCTGCTTTCCTTCTTATATAGAAGGAAACGTATAATATATCCCACGGGACAGTAATTCCCATTGTTTGACTATGAAATACCAAAGTGAAAAAATCTGGAGCAGTTTTCAGACAGGAATAAAAAATATTTGTTCTACCCAGCTAGATTAGATTATTTTTAATAATGTTTGGGTTGCTGCTGTTGACTCATTTTCTTTTGAAAACACAATGTAACATGGCGCTGTCGGCAACTTTGTGCATGCCAGGTAATTTCTCTACCTTGGTTGCATTCCATGTAAAATGATGATACTGCCATGCTTTGTGATGATCTTACTCATTCGTTTATTTGAAACACTGTCAGTCTTATTACTTATGGGACAGTGGGTTTGCCCTTTGACTCTCTCCAGCTTAAAAAGCAAAGAAGCAGTTTTCAAATACAAATAATATTAGAAAACAGAAACAAAAAATGTTCTTGTGGATGGAAATACAACTTCCAAAATATACAGTGTAATGGGATTCTGATCATAATGGGTGCTTTTCAATGCTAGCATGAAGTATCAACTTCAGACTGTAGCCTGAGATGTGACATATTAATGTATTTTTTAAGACTGAAGGGACAGCTATCATACTAAAATAAATTTAAAATGCATGTCTTAAACCCTGCATATTTCACTGTCTTCAGGATGCACCCACGTCCTTGCAGCAAGTCCCTACACCATTGCACTGAGTTAGAACATGACAGTGGTAGTAGATGATTGCTCTGGAGAGATGGTTTCTCTGTCAGGAAAAATATAAATGCTCGTCATATATCTTAGTAAGTTCTGATTTAAGCCAGGTGTAAATTAAAAGCATTTTTAATGCCACAAACTGACTACTGTCAGATCAGATGAAGATAAGATGTGAAGAACTTTTTAGCAATCAGCTGATTCAGTGTATTGCTTATCTTGCAGGTAGCAGAAGAGACAAGTGCTCTCACACATCTCCTATTTCATCCTACATTTCATGCAGTGAAGGGCCAGTGTCCTCCTACTTCTCACTCTTTGTATCATTTCTTTCAGTGCTTCATACAGAAACCCTTGCTCACCTACCAGGACGTGGGTAGTGCTGTAGGTCATAGTAGGCTTTTAGGTGAATGAGATTTTCCCTAACTCTCCAACACCTGTATCACTACGTGAATATACCCAGTAGAGAACTGGCCAACTGCTTTGTTGGTGGAGTTGCAAGGCAGAGCACACCCTGGCCAGGCTGCTTGGTATTTTGGGTTTGTAGTTTTGAAGAGTGTCCACTGAGTAGACTTGTTCATATATATTTCAATGCCATTGCAGTTCTACTTCATGCGTTTACGACTAGATGCAGTCTACTTGCATTATACTGCGTAGTGAGACTATACTGGTAGAGAAACAGAAAATGAATCCACAGCAGGGCTTCCAAAGCTTACAATTAAAACCTTTTCAAGGTCAACAGAGGTTCCTAATGAATTGCCTATTGTACTTTCAGAAGAAGCAAATGTTTTGACACACTATTGTTAATAGCAAGGCCGATTTCCTAGATTTATGTTCCTACTCTAGTTTCTGTGGCATAGCAGTTCTGTTGTAGATCATGGCAACCAAGATGATGTACTGTGAAGCTGTTTTACTTGCCACTACAGTTTGCTATTGTTGCAAAGCTATTACTGTTTTGAAGATTTAAATGCAGAGGCTAAAGAGTTAAGTAATTACACCAAAGTGTATTAGTGGATAAAAAACAATTGTGTGGGTTTGTGTGGAGGGGTTGTATCTTTTATAACACTAACAAACAGTTGGGAAAGCAGACAAGTGTTTGGTTGCCCAAGCCCGTCTTAGGTTTTAAGCAGAAGCAACAGACTTCAAGCTACAGGTTGAGAACAATTGCTCAGTGTTCAATTTGATGACGTACATCTGTTTCAGGATTTGAAAGAAAGAGTTGGCTGGCCAGAGACCTGTAAGCAATGGCAAAGGTGGTAATAGTCTTTAGCCACTTTGGGACAGATACCAAGAGACAGGCTATTTTCACTCAGAGAGTAGGAGGGAGTTAGCTGGCAAGGAAACATAGGAAAAAATAAATTGTGCCATAAAACTAATCTCTCTTCTTAAAAATAAGATTTTTAGTATCCAATAGAACTGTGAATTTTCATTTCTAAGCTTCTTCTCTGAAGGTCTTCCTTTTGAGGATCAGGTTTGACACATCAGAGGCAGAACGACTCCCATACAAAATTATCCCACTGGCAGCCAGGCATGTGTCCCTTACTGATCACGTGCATCTCTTCTGCTGTACGTTGTGCCGCTTCGGATTCACCCATGCAGTTTGCCTGAAAGCACTTGATGATTACATGAATTATATTACCTTCTGGGTCACCTTTGTTGGTTCCAAGGAGCTTCATGGTTCTCTGTTATCAAGGGTGGAATTGGGGGTGGATGGGGTGATGTGCTGGCAGATGTTGCAGTTGGTGCTCTGCGGTGATTGGGGTTTGTTTGGGGTGTGCTGGTCTGTGCAAATCTTGCTTCTGATGATGAATCTGAGGATGAATGCAGGAAGTATTTTTGGAGGCGATAAAAGTTTCTGCAAAAATACATGGTCATCTTGTGCAGATTATAACAGTTAAGTACTTTTTAATATGCATGCTGAAATAGGATGATGTGTGGCAACAAGGGGCCTCTACTGTAACTTTGTGTGTGCTACTCAGGTTTCTCCTGAAGAGATACCATCCACGTCCTCAAAGCGTGTCTTCACTTGGTGAAGATTGGTTTTATATTGCCGGAGTGGTTGCCTTGAGTGCTGTTTCTGGAGCAGATGAGGCAGTGTCCAAGGGCCACTTGAGCATCCTTTGGGCAGGTGGTGGTTATGGTTGTGGATATAGCCATGTTGGTCTGTGGATTTTCCCGAGTATGGCAAATTGTAGGTTGTCTGATATTTGTCATTATACTTCAGAAGCTGGTATCAACAGAGGTGGAGTGAAAATACCGTCTCAGTTTGGATTCCTGTACTTATATTAATTCTCTCTCCAGGTTTGGGCACATCATGCAGGCTCTGCTTTAATCAGTAAAAAACCCCAGAAACAGAGATACGTATCTGAAAAGCTTATTGTCCTGAGGACAGAATGCTTAGTTTATGTTCATTTGAGTGCTCAAAAGAAAATTTTCCAGATGAAAAGCACTGAGTGATTGAACAGTGTTTTATTAAATAAAAGAGGGGGTTTTTTATGTTCAGCAGTGAGAATTATACAGCATTACATATGAATGTCTTTAAAATGTGCTTTGTATCTGATAGATTGAATATGAGAAGAAGAAGAAAGAAGATGGAAAACGGGCTCGAGCTGATAAACAACAAGTGTTGGACATGCTTTTTTCAGCCTTTGAGAAACATCAGTATTACAACATTAAAGACCTGGTGGACATAACCAAACAGCCGGTGGTACGTACTAGTAGTCTTGTAATATAGCCATTTTCAGTAGTTACTATTGTGTATATTTTCCATATCCAGAAAATACTTCAATTTATACTATATGCCTTTGAAACAGCTCTCTAAATATGTTTTACAACAAACAGAAATCATCAAGTTTTAAGTTCACCATTGCAGGGCTGTGTAGGATACCAAGCATTGCAGCGAGTATGCTTTTTCTTGACAGAGGTGGTTTAAGTAACCTAAATGGTCTCTTTCTTATTTAGGTTTGCTTTAATACTAGAAACCAAATGCCATAATGCTCTGACATCTCCCATGCTACTCCTGTCCTCACTGAAGTAACAGCCTAGTTCTGTTGCTGTTGGCAGTAGAGAGCTTGTGTGAGTGAGTGGTCAGCCCTTCCTTCAGCTTCCGAACTTATAGCAACAGGAGTTAGTCTTTTTCTGTGGGTCTAGAAAATTGTGTTTCATGGAATTAGTATTAAATGCACGTATTATCTGTGTTAGGAGCTCAGGCATCATGCCAACACCCCCAAAATCACTTGATTTCTTTTACAAATAGAATAATTTTTAGACTGAGAGTTTAGGGGTTTATTTTGATTTTTTTTTTAAACACTGTTTTGATACACAAACAAGAAAAGCATGAAGACATGTGCTTACATGATGGTTTTGTTATCCTGCAGTGTCTGCCAGCCCCTTTGTCTATGAACCCTAACTTTCCAGTTCTTTCCCTTCTTCTCCTGTTCAAGCTTTCCTTGAGCAGACCAGGTGGGAGCAGGGGGAGACAGTGACACGTGAAGTATCTTTGGTGCTTTTGATGTTTTTCACTGCTGACTTCAATATCTATCCTCAACCCAGCTGCAGTTTTCAGAAAATTTAAAGGGACTTAATTATGTTTGAGTCTAAATGGAGCAACAATTTCAAAAGTTGTTAGAGCTAAGGCAGAAGAAGGAACAGTGACAGCTGGATTATGGAAAAAATTATTCCCCTGTAAAGGAGGGGAAAAAGTGGAGATGCTTACTGTTTTTTCTTAAATGGATCTGTATCAGAGGATTTGTATAAGGTGCACAATCTGTTTGGTTAAGAAGCTGCACAAAGATGTTACCCAATTCAAATACATGCAGGTTCACTGTGTTCTAGTACCTTGGAAGAAACTAGTTGGATAATGTATTCGTGTCTTCTGTTCCATTCATTTATCTAATGAGTCAACCCCTTACCTGTGTGGCAGAGAAGGTGTGTGGATCGTGGGAGCTGAGGAGCTGAGGAGCTGAGGAGGAGGAAGGAATAGGAGGAAGATATGGAGGGAGTGGCAAGAAAATTTTAAGATTTTTTTTTTTGTAAGAGATAGGTATGACAGTCACTATCTCGATCGCTTTGAATGTAAGTAGGTACAGATTTATCCCATCTAACATGACTTCAGCTAAAAATAGTCACCCACAACTCCCACTTAAGCCATGGGAGAACAAAAGTTTTCTTCCTCCTGTGATGTGATTTACCTCTTGAATGTACCTGTCTCTCTGCATCAGCTCAAAGGAGCCTGGAAAAGCTGTTCTTCTGACACACCTTTCTTCATTAAGCACCAAAAGTTGGGCAAGATTAATCCAATTTTGTCTTAATCGCTGCCCTAAGGATTAGATGTATAGGGTAGTTATTAGATTAGATGTATAGAGCAAAATACCTCACATGAATACGTCTATTACGTTTATGATGTGTTTCTATGCCTGTATGTATATCTCTGCTGTCATCATATGCTCCTGAATATATTCTGCCCGTAGCATAGTAGATCTGTGCTGTGTACTTTCATCTCAGCAAATCTAGCCTTTGTTGGTTTTTTTTTTTTTTCAACTATTGTAGTAATACAGGTATGTTAAAAGGAAATTGTAGACTAATTTGACCCAATATCACATGTTATTTGGGCTATATCTTTGCATCTGTGTTTCTTATTTGAGTCTCTCTACTGATGGCTAAAAGTCCCGTAGGGCTCCTGAGATTAATCAAACGATTAAACCCTCTTCCCCTGAGTGGGCCGCGCGGTCTCAGTTTCGAGCTGTGTGTGAGAGTTAGGGGTTTCGTGTTCATTCCCAGCCAGGGTTTTGCCGTAGGTGTTGGTGCCCATCCAGCTTCCCCAGACCCGGGTATCCTGAGAAAATAAATGACCAAAATCCTCTGCCTGATGCCTTTCTTCATTCACTGGGTAGCCAGTATGGTGATAAATTCAGAACTATCTTTCAGTACATCATCTACCCCTCATCTAAAGCTATCCTGATTTCCCACCTGGGTTCCCATTAAAAACTTCTGCAGGGAGTTGCTAACGGCATCCATTTCCATTTAAAAATACCATCCCTTGGTTCCTGCTGCTCAGCTGGTGTTTGCTCCGTGTGTGAGCATCCCTCGTGCTGCGGACTTCAACCTCTGGTGTGCAACTTTTTTGGTTTTTTTTCTGAAAATTTCAAGTGTCTGTTCCTAATGCCCACTGTGACTTCATTGTTTGCAGAGCAGCTATACCTGACAAAAAAAAGTAAAACATCAATAGGTGAATAGGCATGCTTTCCAGAAACCGTGCTGTACAGAGGTTGGCTGCTAATTAATCTCTGCTGAGTGTTCACTGCTTTATTTTCTGTCATAGTGTCTAAGATTGTCTGGGTATGTAATTTCTCCTCTGAGTTTCTAAATGTTGAGGTTATTTTCAGACATGAGGAAAAAAATGCTGCTGCTGTCTCCTCAGCTCCCGTTAAAATGAAGTTCTAGGTGCTTACATCACTGGTCCTCAGCTCCCGTTAAAATGAAGTTCTAGCTTACATCACTGACTAATAATATTGAAAACACATTTGTCTAAGGGAATTAACATCTTTGTTAGTGAAGTAACAAATAAATAAGGGTATTTTTCTTACATAATGGTAAATGTAAATAGTAAATTAAACCCTTGCTACAGAATATGTTGCATGTTACATGGGAAATATCTGACATCTTTATTTTGCAATCGTGAAATCACAAAGCAAGTCTATTCTGAACGCAAACTACTGCTATATTAGGGAAACCTGGGTTTATTTGTTTTCCTTTTTAGTGAAAAATAACAATTTGCAGTAGTAGGCAAATCTGTTGCCACCTACCCAGATGTAAATACCGAGTGCTCCCTGGAAATACTGCAGTAATTCTAGATTTGGACTTCATGGCTGAGAACACAATACGCTTTTTATGTGAGCAATCAAATATTTGTGAAGAATGGAACCATTATGGAACCAGTGGTCTAATATGAACTGTATTTTTTCAAAATGGGGTAGATTGTTTGCAGTTTTTTTCTTTTATGTTAGCTTTAAGTAATGGTTATCCTAAATACAGTGGGGAGTGTTTTCCCCTCGAAGTTTCAGAAGGGTTTTCAGAGCTTGGAAGTTAACTCCTCTCTCAGAAATTTTTATCCCATAATTCTATAATAACATTTCACTTTTTATGGAAAAAATCATGAGGGAAGGTATAACAGAGCAGAGGATGCCTGAAATGTACAAACAGATTACCTACAGATTAGCTTTTGTGTTAGAATTATATGTATATAAACATATTGAATCCCTTTCTGAGAAGAAAATTGTGGGCCCCTGATTAGCGCTCACCAGGCTCTAAAATTCAGTATTTTGCATCACTGGAGGAAGTGGGGGGTTTCTCTTGATGATACAGTATCAGACTGAGTAGTATGCTTCAAGACGTATAGGCCAACCTGGCACAGCGCAGACCCAGGTGGAGGGTCCTGGTTTCTGGAAGGAGAAGTGATCCTGCGGGAAAAATCGTAACATCCCCTGAACTCATCTCCTCAAGCCACTTGCTCTCAAGTACGGTACACTACAGCAGGATTATCCCCGATTTGTAGTTGTCTAAAAGCTCCAACAGTTCAGCATTGTCTGTGCACACAGAGTGATTTTTTTGGGTTAACGCTCTCAGCTGCCCTCCCTAAAACCACTGCTGCTTGTTTCCCCCTGCAGCGGAGATGGCAAATAGGAATATGTTGCAAATCCTCAGTTGCTGCAGTTCACGGTCCCAGCTTGAAGTGCCCTTACGTGTGGCACAGACGTTACCTCGCTATTCAGTTCGGGTTGGTTTTGTTCCGTTTTGTTACGCTGTTGAATCAAAACTCTTGGAAGTTTTGCCCAGAGAGAAGCAGAACTGCCTGGGGAATTGAGTCTGAAAACTAGCTGAAATTAAAAGTAACCTTCATTTAACTGGGTGGGTGGTTTGGAGGCGTGAGCAAGTAGTGAGAGGTGAGAACTGCCTTGTGCAAAATGTCACCCAAAGATACTGCCACCAAACAGCAGCGAGCCACCAGAAGCTGCGGACCATGCAGCCGCAGCGGTCTCGTTCTGCCTGAGCCCTGCGGCATCGTCACGCCTGGTGACCTGGCTTCCCAGATGCAGAGTAGGTCTCTCAGCCCAGGAACTGCATGTGGATGTACTTCATGGGACTAAGTGCAATTATGTTTTTTTTCCAATTCTCATTAATCTGTCCGTGTGGTCTAGAGCAGAATTTAACCTTGAATCTGAGTGTTTCTTCCACCCACTCTGCCATCTTTTGAAGCGTCTGTCAGTGACACTACTGAAAGCTACCTTGTGTGCATGCACAAGGACTGCAAACAAAGCAGTGGATGTGCAGGTATACACGTCTACGCATACCCATGTAGAAATCGCTTTTTCGCCTGCTTTCATCGCCTTTTAAAAAATGCATTGCGCAACAGCAGTGTCGTCGTACAAAAACGTTTGCGCACTAGTTGCTGTTGTAGTGAGTACATTTGTCTTAGGTACCTGACTCTCAAATAATGACAGCATCTCTGCGATAGATGAGATGAGGAAAGGTGTGCTAAGAGATATATATCGATCTCCTGCTGCCACCTGCTGGGGTTTGCATCGTGCACGCTCGAAGACTGAAGAGCCATCCCCGCCCTGCAAAATGAACTCCCCGCTCACGGCTCCTGTGAGCAGCCACTCTGCTCGAAGAAAAGGCCCTAAGAAACTAGTTTGTATACGCAGTCCGTTAGGGTCATCTTTCTTACTTGTTGGACAAACGCCCCTCATTGCTTTGAGATAGGTTTTTAAGAATAATTTTGCTACGTGAGTCCAAATGAAGTATCATCATTAGTGTGGGATCTGGATTTTTTTTGCTTTGTAAATTTTTTATGTGTACCTGGAGAGAGAGTAATGATCGGTTTCTCTAAAAGAGACTTTTTTTACTGACTGAGAACATACTTTTTATTTATTTCCCAACTTCTCCATTTAGCAAAAAATGGGAAGTATGTAGGGAAGAGACTGGGAAATCGGCCTTTCTTTTTTTCCTGTCATCAACAAATGTTTGCTTTTTTTAATGAGGTGGAGTATGTTGATATTTGTGTTTATTGGAACTGTAGATACAGAAAATACAAGGGTTCCAGTAACTCCAGTTCAATATATGCACTCAAAGAGGATTAAATTGCTCAATCTAAAGCAATTATTAATTTAATGTGGGGATTCTTAAACTGTGGTCTGCGGTTGCCATGGCAATCCACTCAAGTCAGTCCCAATTAATACTTAAACAAACAAGCAGGGAAATAGCTCTTTAAAAAATGAAACAAATTACTGGTGTTTATTATAAAGAGTAAAGGACGGTGATATTAGTGAGCTGTCCTGTGTCAAAGGTTATACTACTGGTATCACAGCTTTGCTTGTTTTTTTTAAATTTCTCTTCCTAGTCTTAATACTTGAATGTATTAGAAAATTCTCTGGCACCTACTCAGCTCTCCTCTAGAAACGAGGCCATAATAAAATGCTTAAAGCTTTGCAAAATGGCGTGAAATCCAACAGCTCGGGGCTTTGATGGGGTCTGAATAAGGCAGGGAGTTTCAAGATAATCCCAGCCCAAGCAAGACGAAAAGCCAAAAGCTTTTAGCTCAGGTGGAGAAATTCCAGCAGGAGGAAGATGTGTGAGACAACGGTGATGTACATAAAGCTTTGCAAAAGAAATCGAAATCCAACAGCTCGGGGCTTTGATGGGGTCTGAATAAGAGTTTCAAGATAATCCCAGCCCAAGCAAGACGAAAAGCCAAAAGCTTTTAGCTCAGGTGGAGAAATTCCAGCAGGAGGAAGATGTGTGAGACAAGTGAGACCCGACAGCAGCCACCCACACGGCTCGCTGCCTGTGGCGGCAGCGAGTTCCCAGGGCAGAAAGCCTGCCCGCATCCCCACTCCTCCGCAGTCATGTGAGAAACGTGACGGCGCGCAGATTTTTAGACCAGCTGTGCATCTGATACTCGGGGTACGTCGGGAATATCTCAGCCTTTTGATTTTGCAAGTGCCCCGTCTTGAGACAGGAGCTGTGGAGCATCTCCGCTAGCTCATCCGTGGGTGGGTGCTTGTAGGTCTGCAGTAATCTCAGCATCGCCTTCCCAGAGGCACTGGGAGCTTCGTTTCGGCAGCCCGTGGAGCATCCATCTAGCTAGTACCTGCCTCTCCGCACCCTGGCAGGGCTGCGCAGGGACTGCCCGGGAGCCATCGCCCTTGGGGCTTGTGCCAGGCGTTACACCCCAGCTGCTATAATCCCTCTTGGTGCCTGGGGGTTGAAGTTATTGCACAAGTTAGTGCCGATCAGCCAACCTTGCTGTCCGCCAGGTTGTTTTTATGAACCGAGTTGATGTGATTGAGCAGATCGTGAGACGTCATGTAGGAGCCGTGGTAATTGCCTGCCTGTATAATTTGAATTTTTGTTTCCTTTCAGATATACTTGAAAGAAATTTTAAGAGAAATAGGCATCTACAACGTGAAGGGGACCCACAAAAACACATGGGAGCTGAAGCCAGAATACAGACACTACCAAGGAGAAGACAAGAGTGATTAACAAAAGCGTTTACGAAGCAAGAGAGAATTGGAGTGATTGCACTGAGGGAACCATGGTGGGTTTACAGACAGGACTGAGCACAGCGCAATTCTGCAAGGTTCAAGTTAAATTAAAGCATCTGATACTTTGTAATTTTCTGTAGCTTCATTTTTTTTCCAAGGAATATTTCTTGTATGTTTCACTAAGTGTTTTGTCTTTTGACAGGAAAAAAAAATTTATAGAACAAACTTGTATTAGATTTATCTTTATTAGAAATCTTTTGAGTTCTTATCTTACTTTTTCTTGGTAGCTTTGTGGCTTTTCCAAGCCTCGATGACTTTGAAGGGAAACGTCCTAGAGGACCCCGTAACTTTGTGGGTTTGCATTCCAGTAGGACCAGATTAATACCCTCACTTCTGCTGGGATCTGTCAGGGCTTCCTCTGGAAGGCTGCAAAGGTACACCACCCTTTGCGCAGTGTTTGGGTGGAAGGGACATGATGCTCCTTTTGGGATCAGGCTTTAGGAAAAACAGCCACAACCGCGGTGCTCATCACAGTCCTTAGACTCCATGGGAACAAATCAACAGTTAAAAACCCGTAAAGTGAAGGCTGTTGGATACACAGGTCTGTGGGAAGACGACAATCCCCTCCAGGTGATTAGTGAGAAAAAAAATGAAATACCTGTCTATTAGGTACATCAAGGAATAGATTTATCTTTTGTTCGTTTTTTATGATGTTACCTGTTTTATGTTTAAGCATATCAATAAAAGCGTTATTTTAATTTGTATCAAGCAATGTTCTACGTTATTGACTGAACACGTGTTGGCATTTATATAGCATAGGTATGAAGGGTTTTTTCAAACCATGTTTTTATTGCTGGCTTTGCCACTGGGTTTCTGTGTGTTTTGGGGAAGACTGCTTAATCCCTGTCTCTGTTCCCCCATTTTTGAAATGCACATTGCAAGGGTTGTCTATTCAGCATCCTTCTTGGGAGGGAGCAGGGAGGGAGATGGGATGGGACTATTTAATTATATTCTCAAAGCTTTTACGCTAAAAAAAGAGTGAAGAAAACAGAGTGGAAAAACCCTCCTTAGTATACCTGTAAATGAAGCAGAAGGTGAGGTTTTATAGCACAACTTTCACATTCCCTCAGGTCCTTCAGATGTGTGCATCACTTCTGCACACTAATAAAATAATAGGTCTGCGTGAAAAGCAAACATGCCGGTTTTGGTCCACTTGGAAGCAGTGAAAGGTTCGGAGGGGGGTCAAATGCCTTTGGAGGTTTGTAAAACAACTCTGACCCTTTATGCATAAGTGACACATTTTAATTTTGCTCAATTCATTTTTTCTAGAATTATTTGTGTAGGTATCTCTCTACAGATATGCTTCCCGCTGGTGCTCAGCTTCCTGTGGCTTGAAGTGCCCGGTTCCTGGGAGGTGGACTACTGAGAGTTTTTGAAGGGCAGATCACGTTCCAGGGATGTGTGTGTGCGCTTTCATAAATATTGCCGTCGACCCCTGCCTCCTCAGGCTCTACGAGCAGGACCCAGCTTGCTAACGGCTGCGGGGCGTATCTGAGGATGCTGAGAGGAACCCAGGAAGTCAGCCTTCATGTCTTGCTTCGGTACATGATGTGCTCCCCAGCAATAGCCAGAGCCTGCACACATTGCTGTCCTCCTCATGCTGTTTGAGTCCTCCGGAGACTTGCGTTCACAACCATGTAGGATGAGAACTCTTGCTTTTCATGAGCTGGGCCTCTCTGTTGGATTCGTGTCCTGTTTGAGCAGCTAAGGTACCTAGAAAGTCTAGGTCAGCTTCTCCCTTGTGTTGCTCCTCACGTGGTCTTCTAAAACCACGCAGGGGAATGCCATGCAGTCCTGATTTAGTAGTGTTGTAATCCAATGCCACAGGTAAAAATGACCATGCCGTTTCAGAGGGAAAAGGTTGCCTTTAGTGGGATCCCCAGCAGGATTATCTTAGCAGGAAAGTATTTTGGATCTGCTTGTATTTTTGGTTTTATGCGAGTTGACTGCTTCACAATTTGTCTTCAGTTGAGAGGGACATAATCAGTCAGCGTGAAATGCCAGAAGATCTAAGTAAAGTAGGTATTTTATTGACCTGCAGAGTGCCTTTCGACAGGGCAAATAGGCTTACGAGTAATGGAAAGTGTACAGAGCATGCCATTTTTTATGGGTTTTATGCTTTTTACCAAAAAAACTATTTTTATGGGCATCGTTAAAAATGAACGAGCAACAGAAAGGTTGAGGAAACCCAAGGTGCCCTGTTTCACTTGCAGCTTCCTCTGGAGCAGCACCAGTAAGGTGCTTCAAGGTAAAAGGGGTACAGGACAATGAGGAAACTATTTAAAAAAACAGCTGGGAAACATTATGCCAGGATAAACTAAGAAAAGACATCTAGTGGACAGTCTAGAAGCCAGGCAGCTCGTGAAGCATTTTTTTTCCTGCTTCCTGCATGATTTTGAAGGCTTTCTAGCTTGTTAGTGTACAACTGGAATTTTAGCCCCAAGAGCAGCCACAAAATCCACGTGGCGTGAGAGAGGGGCACAACAAGCCCGCGGGGGTGCTGAGCAAGAGGATGAAAGATGCTCTCCTGTGCTGTGCATTCAAGGACTCTGCTGCCTCCTGCATGGAGGGAGCGCGCAGTAAAGATGGAGGTGGAGTTGTTTGTTAGGTGCCGTTTGCAGGTCATCATCCAGCCTGCAGCCAAGCCACGGGGTCTTGCAGCACAAACCACCCTAGCGACAGAAGCAGCGGGGTAGACATGCTGCTACAGGCCCCACGTTCTCCCCTTCTGCAATAACTCAAGGTATCGCAGGACCAGTCTAACTTCACGCAAGGCTGCGATAATGATTTAGCATTTAGGGCAACCTCATGATCCAGCACGTAATAACCAGCAAAAACTCTCCAGCTCCGCTCCGCTTGTTCTGCAAGGGGACCTTACGCAAGTGCTGTTAGCAGGATTGCCATCTGCTGAAAGAGAGGAGGAGGCAGCTCGTAGGCGTTCAAGTCTGATTCCCCGGCCCCCACGTTTGGATTAATTTAAACTCTGAACTCACAGCAGTGATGAACACCGATTCCCTGCTGGTCTTCCCACATGCTGCTGTCTCTGCTCGCTGCTGAACTCTGCTTGTGCAGGTGTTCTTGACTATCGGTGGTCAAAACACTGGTCCACGAGCGGGTCCCATAGGCACAAGCAGAAGTATCAATGTGCTAAATGCCATTAAATGAGATTAAAAGCACGTCTACTCTCTAGCATTACTTCTCCCGAATGACCAGTTCTTTGAGTCATCAGAAATTTTATACTCTGTAAGCCCAGCTGGTACAGGCATGGGCCTGAGCTGCTGCAAGGCAGCAGTGATGCAGCTGCCCCAGTAGAGACATCCCTGTGCCGGTGGGCTGGGAACGGGTGAGAAAGTGCAACCCTGGAGGCTGCCACTGCTACGTGGGGAAGCGGGGTGGATTTGAACCCAGCATGGGAGAGGCTGGTCCCGGTGCTGCCCTGCTTCCCTCCTCACCAGCTCACAGCACTAAACATCTGCCTGCCTCCGCTGCTGCCTGCCTCCTCCGCAGCCCTGCCTACAGCCAGCCTGGAGGCTGCTGGTGGGACAGGCAGGCCCGCACGACGAATGGGAGCAGAAAGTATCAGGCGTGAATATTAGCTGCGGACCAGCAAACAGTGATGTGGCTACAAGACCTCCGCTGCCCACGCCACATCTTTGATGCAGAGCTCGTAGTGGGATCGGTGCTCGCTAGCTGCTTTGATCCCCGTGGATGCTCCCCAAAAGTCGGCCATGCTTTGAGTCAGCTACGTATTGTCTTCACCAGCTGCTTGGGGTTGGCTCCAGCTGAACATACCTCCTGCGTGTGTCAGCTATGCCCACCCACATTCACATGTCCCTGTCGCCAGGATGGCATTTTTCATTAGTCACTGTATTTATTGACTCCTAACAAATCATTTTTCTCGCTAATGCAGTATCAGAGCTGAGCTGCTGCTCCAGGCTCACCTGGAAGATAGCTCTGCTTCTTGAGCTTTTCAAAGAGCTGTGGCTGGGTACAACCTGCCCCATTTCTCATACCGGTGGCAGGACTGGAAGACTCTCTTGGCTCTCCTAAACAAGACTGCGTGTGGCTACCAGGCTGTGGGGTTAACCTCTCTCTGGGAGTGTTTAATTATTTGCACAAGGATGACAAACTCCAACAGAAAAGATCAAAAAAGGCCATTTCCAGAAGAGCTCAGCACCCAGTGCTACAGCAGGTGTCTTAAGGCTCGCATCTCTCGTCTGGCTCAAGCAGGTCAAACTTTTCCACCTTCACCTCTCATCAAATCCAAAAATTTCAGAGTTCATTGCCTTTTGGAATAGGGAATTGGTAAATATCTTTGGATGGGGAGCACGGGGTACCCATAAGCCAGAGGGGTCAATGACCACAGGTGTCATTGAGCATCGCTTTGGCTAACCACACCTAGGGCTTGTGCGATGAGCAAGATTCAAGCCCCAGGAGCTGAACTTACAGCAGCCCTGTTCTCCTTCCCAGCTCAGCAAATCTCAGCACAAGGAAATGCTTGGTACTGGTCGTACTGACCAAAATGTGCCAAAACATGTCCCTTGGAGGAGTGCAGCCAGCTGAGAGGGGCTTTCTGCTCCTGACAGCGTCACACAGGGGTTTGGGCTTTTGCAGCTGGTGTGTTTGCAATTATAGGCAAATAACCAGGAGAAGGGGGAAACTGCAGCATTTGGCTTTCAATCTTGAAAGGAACAGAACAACTGTTTCTTTTCACCTCCACTCCATTAACTAGTTTTACCTCTGGAGCTCATTCTTGAGAGTGGGATTTCCACGGGGACCTGAGCACCTCCCTGAGGCAGGGAAGGCTTTCAGCAGCAGCGAGACACATAACCAAGTACCAAGGTCCAGAGGAACAGGCGAGGGCAAAGCCTTGATTAAAAGCAACGAAGGAAACAACAGTCCTTCCTCAGCCACATAGGTCTATGCCTGCACCCGGCCAGCTGCCCTCACCAGTCTGTGGTGGGAGGGTGGGTAGCACTGGAGGAGGGAAATGAGACCCACCCACCCTGGGCTTCACACATCTAATTTAAGGTCTTTTTTTTTTTTTTTTTTTTTTCTCCCAGAGAGGCTCACGTAACACTCAGCATGGATACCTGAAAAGCCTCCCTCCACCGCCAAGCTCAGCCAGGGAAGAGGCTATTTATACTCCAGCAGTGGGAGAGGCTGCAAGCAGCAAGGGCTGTGTCCATGCCGGGTCCACCAGCCCAGGCACCCCCAGCCATGGGATCTTCCTCCTGCATGTCCTTCCCAAAGCTCCCTGGCCCACAGTAAGCAAGGTGGCCATGAACACAAAACCCTTCTACTTGCGGGCAGCTGCTGTCTTGACCATTCATCTTAAGAATCAGGTGGGTTTGTGGGGGTCAAAGCACTCTTAGCCCCACCACGACAGGTGAACTGGACTGCACATGCTGCCAGGAGGCAGCCGCTGGGCTGGGGCAGCCAAAGCCAATGGGTGAAGGGCTATGCTAGCCTCCTTAAACACCTTTTTATGGGCAGCTTGACCAAGCACCAGCAGCTGCAGGAGGTTTTATGGCTGCAGCCCACAGCAACCACACAGCTGCAGGAGGCAGAGAAATCATCCCTCCCTGCCTCGGCTGGAAGGGCCAAGGGTGCCCAGCTCAGGTGCAGACACAGCTGTACATAGAGGAGGTGAACCTCAGCCCTTGAACCAGACTATTCCAGTAGCAACAGCACGGTTTTGCTAGCTGAGCATCCACAGCAAGCAGGGAGGGAACAGCCAGCTTTACACAGCCTTTCCTCAACTACTCTATTACAAAGAATTTGGGAAGCTAATTCTTAAACCCTCTCTGGACATCAAATTTTTTTGACATTGCCTATAAAAATCAAACAGCTGCATTGCTTTGGCAGGGCTGCTGGCATGCCCGCGCCTTGCTGAGAATAGGAGGAAAGGGGCTGCTCTCCAAAATGCCAGCAGTGCTTCCCCCCACCGCTGCTGGTCACAGACGGGGAGGTGAATCCAAGCTGTTGGCTCCCAGGATAAACAAGAGGGCTGCAGAGAAACAATTGCTCATCGTTTTTATCACCATGCTCAGCCACTGCCCTGTTGGTGAGGTTGGGATCACACACCAAAATAGTCTAAAAAGGCCTCCTAGCATCAGTTTAAGGGTCTTTTGGCTCCTTTCTGCCAGAAGTGGAAGGTGATGAATGCAGCTCCAATGGCTCAAAACACCCAGCAGCTACACATCCTGAACAACATCCTGCCATGCTCCCGCAGAGCGCACTTCCAAGGTTACCAGCATTTGCTGGCACCAAAAAAAGCTCCCCCAGGCCCCCAGCCCTGGCCACAGCCACTTGGCCATGATCTCTGCACAACAGCTTCCAGCTGCGGCTTCAAGCAAAAGCCAGCCAAGGTACAGGGACCACAAACCAGCATAGTTGCACGCCTGGCAATGGATTTTGGGCTATTGATGGCAAAGTCTTTCAGGCTTGGCTAGGTTTTTTTTCCTCCTACCAAGACATTTATCTCAGAGCTAAACAAACATGGTGTTTAACTGCTGCTCTCCTGCTGTGGGCTAGCGGCGATGTGGAGATTTACTCACCGGCTGGTGCAGGGTGAAACATCCCAGTTTACAACAGCAGCCACATCCTAGGGAAGCAGCTGCAGAGCTGAAGCGCAGCCGGAGGCCTATGAGAGCAGAGGGAGGCATCTTACCTGCTCCAAGCCAGCAGCAGCATGCGAGAAAGCAGAGGTATCTTGATGCAAATACTATTGTCGTTTAATAAAAGCATCCTCCTTAAAGGGCTGTCACTGAGAACAGTGCCAGGACTGCAGCAGGCTGACCTGAGCCAGCTCAACAGTCAAACTTGCTAAGGGAAGGAAGCAAGTTGCAGCTTTTTTTATTTTTTTTCTACATATTTTTTAAAAAATAATCTAATTTTACTTCTCTGACAACAACCATGTCGTAAGCTCACAGTAAATCCCTCCTGGCCTTGAGCTAAACCACTTGAAAAAAAAAAATCCAAACCAAACCAAACCCAACTCTGTTCCCTACATCCATTCATATAAAATTTTCCCTTTGCAGGTTCTTCCTCCTTGTGCCGAAGCTGAGGGCTGCACAAGGCTCCAGCACCCACCCCCTGCCCATGCCGAGTGGACAAAGCCAAGGGATGGAGCCGTGTTGGTTCAGCTAGGTACCTGAGGGTGCAATGGGGGTATCCAGCTCCCCATGGCCCCACCAGCGCCTCTCCCAGCACACCAGGTGTTCCCTCCACTGCATGAACATCCCCAAGCCTACACCCTTTCTCCCCAAAGCAGGCAGCCAAGGAGCAACAAGCTGCTGCAGCAGCGTTCGGACGTTAACAGCACAGTCACTGGCCTGCGGGAGGTGGGATTTTTTGCCAGCGCTTGGCTGAACCCCTGCACACAACAGGCTGTGGGCTGGAGAGGCTGCGGGGATGCTTTGAGAGGGCAGAAGAGAGTGGATTTTTAGACAGGGCAAGACCCAGCTGGGGCAGCAAAACTGTGAGGGGGGAGGCATTGAGGGAGAGCAGTGGGGTGGGAGGGCAAAAGGCCAAGGGGACCATGGGACACACGCCCAGCACAGTAGCTGCTTCCTCCAGTCCCAAGACATCACCCCCTTAACCACAGAAGTACGAAACTAAAAAGGGAGGGTTTTTTTCCCCCTCTTCATAAGCAATCAGCTTTCCTTCCCCTGCCAGCAGCCAGCTCCTGGCGGGTGCAGGAGCAGCCTCCTGGCCCTGCACAGTGCTGAGACCCAAGCCGGCAGAGGAAAGGTTTCTATCCAGTCGCTTAACCGCTCCATGAGGCTCGGGGGAAAAGCTATTTGGATCCTTCCCAGCTCCACAGCCCTTCCAGGCACAGAAAATATCTTCCCAGGAATGCAAGATACAAGCCTGATAAGCACGTTTTAAAACAA